AGATAAAAAAAAAAAAAAAAAAAAAAAAAAAAAAAAAACTATTCATTTTCACAAACTAATCTCTCAAGATTCCCCACCAGTTTTTACTACCTTGACACTTTGGCTGCATTCATCGTTTACTGGCAAATTTACATGTTTGTCATTCATGTTTTGGTGGTTTGAACTACCATTAATTGAATTTATCTTCTTGTCTTGATCTAAATTTTCACTCCCCTTGTCAAGGTTGCTATTCTCAGTAGCCTTCTTAACACTTCCTTGCTCTTCACACGCTACTGGATTTGCTTTATCTTTTGAAATTTCCTTATCAAAACTAATTTTAACAAGCGTGCTCTTCTCTTGACCTTCATCTAATCTACCCTTCTCTAGGTTGCTATCAACCTGGCTTCCAGTAGTAACTTTAGGAGGTTCATTTCCTTGTACCTTCTCTTTCGTTGTGGAGCTGGGATCAGAAACCCTGAACTCTTTGGGAGGATTAACATCTTGCTTCAATGGAACTTTATCAGCCAAAGGGGTAACATGTTTGTTCTGTTGAGACAATACAGACAAAATAGTGAGTGAATTTTCTATTCTAGGTGAAGCAGCTTTTATCGAACTAGTGCACAATGCAAGAGACACATCAGTTATATTTGAATGAACCTTTGGGTCAGAAGGCAAATTGGAGGGCTTTGTCAAAGAGCTAACTGCAGGCTTAGTATCTACAGAGTGTTTTACTTGAGCAACTTTAAATTGTGATACAGTATTTGAAGAAAGATCAATTCGCGTCCCAGAAGCAGCTGTGGTAGATTTTACTACAGGGTTTGAAATTAGATTACCCTTCAAGACCGGTTTTTCATCTGCTAATTTGGATTTTGCAAGAGAATCAGACGATCCCAACAAAGCTTGTTGAGATGGCTTTTGAGGTGGTACAGAACTACCAGCAACCGCCTCTGCTGTATTTCTAATCTGCACTTGATTTTTAACTGACGTAGATGCCTTCACTGCAACCATTTAAATAGAAGTTATTCAAATGAGTTGCATTGGATTGAAATAACATTACTAGAACAACGAACTATAAATAATAAATTTTCTAGAAGGTTCACGAGCCGTTCATATAATTAAAGTAAGAACTTTTATTTGAGAAAAACATTCAAGTAATAACTTTACTAAAACAAGGAGCTATAAATAACACATTTTCTAAAAGATTCATGAACACTATCACTATCCTATATTTTTGTCACTCCATTAAGAATACAATTCTATAACTAGTAAATAAATAAATTATGTATTCAAACAGTTAAACATCAATATCAAAATTTAAAATCCATAAAACATTCAATATAATAAATAGATAAAACCCATCATATAATAATAATATATGATACATTAATAATAATCTTACTCTTGTGCAATAGAACGCACACATTATAGTAGATAAGTGATAAAAACTTGACATCATATTAGAAAGAATATATCAATATCCGTACATCCCAATGCCCAATGGCCCTAATTTTCCCACAAATGACAAAATGATCTCTTTCTCCCAACCTCCCCTCTTATTTGTAAACAATCTGCCGTTATTCCTCTATCTCAGCCAACAAACCAACAGGTATAAAAATTAACTCTCACTAATACTAACAACAGATATCAATAGACCTTTAAAATTTTCCCCCACTAAAGTTTCAACCTGTCCTCAATGTGGATATATTATAGCAGCTGAACAAGTCTCACTGAGGTTCCAGCTGCTAGCAGCATAATGATCAAGCCTACACCAGTTACTCCACTACTGATAGCCTCCAGAGTCAACCCACTACTGTAGTCCCATAATGATCAAGCTGACCTTGGTCATCATACCTGGGATCCAGAACTGTCTTCATGGGAGAAACCTGGTCTAGTGGTTCCAGGCGGTGGTGGTGGATTCACCATCTATCTTGGAGTTGGACCCCAAACATTTTCTGATCCCCCGTCCTTCCACACACAGGGATGGTTTCCTTCTCTGTCCACACTTCCGTTTTATTACCTGGATTAGCTGAGTTTGCTTCTCCATCTCACGATCCAAAAGATGGTCATTGCAACCCTCATTTTTCCCATTTTCCCTCCATTCTCTCTCTTCTATTGGCTACTCAGTTTCTTCCTCCTCCATATTCATACAATGTTTCTCTTATTCTCAGTCAGCCCATTCTCTGAAGAGTCACAACTCTTATCCATCAATCAATCAAAAATTTTTCCTGCCATCATCAAAATGGTTGTTCTCTCTTTTCTGTTTCTTTTGTTTCCTCAATATTGCTTCTTTCTCCACCACCCTGATTCTGGTTCTTGACAATTTATTTCTGGTTAACCAATGCTTGTTCTTCTCCTCCATGATACTCCTTGCTTCCCATCTGCCTCCGTATCAAACATTGGGCTTCCCTCAATTTGTGCCTCCTCTTTTGCAACCCAAAAAAGACCCATCTCTGCCATCATGATTATTGATCTCAAGAACCACATTTTTATTTCTGTTTTCTGTTTCTTTGTCCAGAATGTTGTTGGGTTTCTCCCAATTATTGTAGCTCTCTTATATTTGTTACTTTCCCTTGAGCTGCTACTTCTGTTCTCTCTAAATCTTCAACTTCTGCTATGTTTTCTTGAACCCAAGATTTGTCATCTAGACTTCCATTTCTTGTCTTCCTGTGCTACCGGCGTACTCCAGTCGGAATATTTTGACCCGCACCTTCATAGATCCACCAGGCTGCACTCATGTTCCATCTGTGTGTTAACCACCAGTTGAGAGTATCATCACCTCTCAGATTTGATGCCTAACTTGCAGAACTTCAGGGGTCTGTATGCCCTAACTCCTAAGGGCCAATCTCTCACAAATGACACGATTTCAACCTCCCCTCTTATTTATAGACAACTGCCATAATTTCTATCTAATCTCAGCCCAACAACCTAACAGATATCAACAACTAATATCTCACTGTATTAACAACTAATATATTAAAAGACCTAAAAATATTAGAAGAGTGTGAGGGACACACTCTCTAATACGCTCACTCTTATTGGTTAAAATTTATTGAAAATTACACAATTAGAAGAGGAGTTCATTATAGAATGAGACCCGCAAAATTTTGAGATTTCCAATAAATTTCAACTAATAAAGGGAATGTGTTTAAAAGAGTGTGTTTCTAGTATTTCTCAAAAAACTAATACTATTTGATAATATTGAGAATCATAGAACCTGAGACTCAGTTGATAGTTTGGGACTTGCACTTTGTTTGGAACCAATGATTTAGGAGAGAAAGAATTGGGTCGGGAATAGAACCGAATCCCAAGAAAAATTATCTCATTTGGAACAGTGAAGAGAGGCAGGAAAATATTGTGAGTGTGGTGATATAGATCTTCATATTTTTAAAAAAAAGGTGATAAGGGAGAGTTTTGATGCAATGACCAAAATACCCTCATGATTTTATTTTAATATAAAGGAAAAATGTCATTTAATATGAGAATATTTTGTTTCTTTTCTGTCCAACCAAATAAGGGGAGAAAAAGAACTCAATTTTTCTTTCTTATTCTCTTAATCCAAACAGCCTAAAAATATCTACCCATTCATTTTCTACTTATTTTCTCTTCTCTCCTTGCTATCCTATTTCTTTCCTCCCTACTTCTCACATCCAAATAAAGGGGTGACGGAAATAGGTGCAACAAAGAAACAAAATCAAAGGACAAATATACCAAATCCTCAGATTGATTAATATGAAGACAAGTTAAAAGAAATAGAAAAAGGTTCAAAGAAAATTACCAGGATCAGCCATTACAGGAGTTAACTTTTTGAGTGGCATATCAAGGGCTAAATGTAAAGAGTGTCGAGTTGCCATCTGTTCAGCAGTGGAATACTGTATGTTGGTTGAGACGGTTCCTGGATTGGCACCGCCATCTTTCTTTCGTAAAATGCTCCACCTCTGCAAGTATTTGTAGATAACCCATCAGAATGGGTAAAATAAACAGTAAATAACAATAAAGGTAAAATGATACAGTTATTAAATCACATTAATATTCACAAAACATCAGTACAAGAAGATATGTATTCATACGGATACAAAGTAAAATAGTCCACCTCTGCATGTTTTAGGATAACCCATACATGTAGAATATAAAGTGAAAAAATTAAAGGTGGCATGGACTGGATTGGTTATCGAATAATATTCACAAAACAATCCATACACAAAAATATGTATTCACATGGATACGAAGATTCATTCATTATTGCCAAACCCATCACATATGAGAAGTTGCTTGAAAGAGTTGCACATGAAAACTCCATTGTTGGGATTTGATTCATTTGAACCCAGGTAAACTGGGTGATAGCCTGAAATCTTACCTGACAAGATGTTAACGAATAAAAATATATTCATTGTCATCAGCCTTGTTTTACAATCAAACATAATCACAGAAAGACATAACCATGTGTATTTGCAATAATACACTTTAGCTTTTCCATGACAATTTTCTATTCATCCTATTGGGAAAAACCCAAGTCCCACATCGACTAGAGATTAGGCAATTGAATAGTATATAAGTGGAAAGCAACCCTCACCTTACAAGCCGGTTTTGTAGGGTTGAGTTAGGCTTAATCCACTATTCTAAGTTGGTACCAAAGCACTCTAGTCCAGGAACCCTAATCCAGCCGCCAACATTTAGGGTTTCTAGGGTTTTCGAATTTTGTCTACGGCTGCCGGAGTTGACACCGCCTGCACACTCAGAGGTCGCCGATCGGCCTCTCCGTCGCGACCCACCGTCATCCGCCGCCTCACGCGCTCCCACGCGCGGTTCTCGTTGAGGAAGCTCGCCGGCGCGTGGGCTTCACGCGCCGCCCTACCAGCCTCCGTTTGCGACGCGGTTTCCTCCGTTGGACTCGTCGGCCCTCCCTCTTCTCGTTTTGACCCTTTTCAGGTAGTGGGTCACACTCTAGGTGGTCTGTTGGAGGTCGTTTGGTTGCGGCCTCGGAGTTTCGTGGTCGTTTGGTGTTGTTTGGTTGTTGTCTTGAAGTTCTGTGGCTGTTTGGTTTCTGTTCGTGGTTGATTGTTTGGTGTTTTTCTTCTTTTTCTCCTCATGGCAGAGATTCCCAAGGAGAACCCAAAAATTGAATCTTCCAAAAGGGGGCTGGTCTCCTTTGCCTTTTCTGGATCACCTACTATTACATCTGAAAAGCTTAATGGTAAAAATTATTTGGATTGGTCCACTGCGGTTGAAATGTGGTTTTTAGGTCAGGGTCTTTATGATCATCTTACTAAAAGGGCGTCTGAAGTTGATAAAGAGGTGAGAGATGAATGGCAACGGACAGATTATCAACTTGTATCTCTATTGTGGCAGTCCATTGAGCCTAAATTAATGGTGCATTTTCGTCCGTACAAGACATGCTATGATATTTGGAAGAAGGCTCGAAATGTCTATGCCAATGATATCCAAAGAATATACGAGTCTGTTCATGGTCTGGCAACTCTTCGTATGGTTGATAATGATTTGCCAACGTATTTGAATCGTGCTCAATCCACTATTGATGAGCTTAAGCTAATGTTGGTTAGTGATGATCCTCAACAAATAATAAACAAACTTGATAATATGTTCATGGTGTTTATCCTTCAAGGACTCCACAAAGATTACGGATCTGTTCGAGATCAAATCTTGACAAATCCTGTCATTCCTACAGTAGAAGAACTCATAGATCGATTGATTCGGGTCCCTTCACCAGAGGCAGATCCTCACACAGAATCTGAGTCCTCTGCTTTTATCTCTAGCACAGCTGACCGTGGAAGTCGAGGGCGTGGTCGAGGTCGTGGTCGCGGTAAAGGGGGTAGAGGAAACCTCCATTGTACCTACTGTCAGAGAGATGGACATACACGAGATAGGTGTTATTCCTTGCATGGCTTTCCAAGCAAGATAGCTAATGTGGCTCAATCTCCAACTTCAGCTCCAGAGCTCAAGATTGAACCGGTGGGCAATCATCCAATCACATTATCTACCGTTGATTACCAAGAGTATCTTCAATTCAAGGCAACTAAACA